ACCAGATTAACAGGCTTATTAGAAGGATGAACTAAGGTATCTACCATGGTGTTTTTATGATTTGGTCAGTTAATAAAGTATCTGCTTCCAAATTGAAGAAAAAAAAAAAAAAACTACTGCATTTATAACTTGTCAGCTGATTGTATAACTGGTATAAACCTAGACTGATAACTCACAGCTATTAAACTATAGATTCTCAGAGAGTCAACCAAGGTTTAAACAGATTATCTGTATCAACTTAGAAAGCCAGTGAGCCATGCTAGGAAAAACACTGTGAAATCTTAATTTCTCATGGCCAAAACAAAAATCTAAATTGACCGACAAACAACTTAACTCTATTTATCTAATACAAATGGCACAGAAAATGTTGTCACATGAAAATATTTATCTGAAAATACAACTGTTAAACAAAAGCATTCCCATTCCTAACTCCACTGAGGAGAGAAATGCTAAGTTATAGACCTTTAAGTGGCACTTTTCACTTACCAGACCACTTAAGACAACTTGATCAAGTTAAGATGTTTATCAAACTCTTTACAAACCCTTTTAGCAGTAAGTACTCAATCTCCAAGCACTGTCATTTCAACTAAGAGTAAAGTTCAAAATTGTTTTGTTAATGTTTTAAAAACAGATGAACTCCTTCTAACAGAAGAGAATGTTTAACTTCCTCAGTCCAAATTTCATCTTTTTCTGAACATACACAGTTTACCCACAGATAAGTAGAGAATGTGAATATTCACAATAGATGAATTAAAAGGAGTGGATTCCTTTGTGTCAAGCATAATCTCACATTGTGTACATCAATACTTTGAAAAGCTTTCATCTCATAGTTTACTAAATACCACATCTCCAGTTACCTTTGATTCTTCCCTCTTACATTGCTTATGAATTCTCCTCCATCTATACTTTCTTTGATAGCTCACTGATAAAGTATTACCTCAGGAGTCCCACTCTAGATTACAAGAGATTTTTAACTAGCTTGTGGGATAGACAAGATCACTCAGTTCAGTTTGGCTTCTTCCACTATCTGCTTGTTTTCCACTACTCATCTACATGAATCACGTAGCTTAATCGGACCAAGTTCTTCTTCACTGTATACTCTGAACCTTCCAAAAGAAATGTCCTCTGCATCCCCTCTTTTTGCTGCTCAATTTCTGGGGACTGAACCCAGGGTCACCGAGTGAGTTTATATTTCCCAGGTCCTCTCTGTCTCTTCTTCCTTGAGGCCCAGTTCATGTCCTACCTCTTCCATGAGATGCTAACTGACTTTTATCCATTCTGTACCTTAGTCAGTATCACATGCTCTAACACCAGATTTATGTGTCTTTTGCTATTCTTTCTCACACATCCAAGCACATGACAAGTCTTTTAGACAGTGCCCACATCTTTCACTTCCTTGGCCATCTCTCATGTGCCCATTACAGAATACTCCAGGCAATGTGTTAGTTCTCCTTGTTTGAAAGTAAAAGAGGGGGCCTACTCATTGGCTTAGTTGTTTAAGGGCCTGCTTAAGCAAAGCAGTCAGGCTCAGGATTCTGTGGTTCAATCCCCAGATCCTCAGGCCTTACCAGACCTGCCTTTAAGGCATCCTGAGCCAGACCAAAAAAAAAATTAAATCTCAGGAGATTTTGCTTTTGGATCCACCATCTGTAGTGGAACTGCCATCAAGATGCAGATTTTCATGAAAACCCTTACGGGAAGAACATCACGCTCAAGGTTGAACCCTCGGACACTATAAAAAATGTAAAGGCCAAGATCCAGGATAAGGAAGGACTTCCTCCTGATCAGCAAAGGCTGATCTTTGCTGGTAAGCAACTGGAAGATGGATACACCTTGTCTGATTATAACATTCAAAGAGTCTACCCTTTATCTTGTGCTGAGACTCTGTGGTGGTGTTAAGAAAAGGAAGTCTTACACAACTCCCACGAAGAATAAGCATGAGAGAAACAAGGTTAAGCTGGCTGTCCTAAAATACTGTAAGGTGGATAAAAATGGCAAAATTAGTCGTCTTTGGGGTCAGGGAGACGGCTCAGTTGAATAAGCGCTTGCCTGGCAAGCCCAAGGACCTGAGTTCAATCCCTGGTTCTGCAAAAAAAAAAAAATTAGTCATCTTCTTGAGAGCACCCTTCAGATGAATGTGGTACGGGAGTTTCTATGGCCAGCCACCTTGACAGACATTATTGGGGCAAGACATTATTGGGGACAGACATTATTGTTGCCTTGACTACTTCAACAAACCAGAAGACAAGTAATTATGAGTTAATAAAAAATTTCAGCTAACAAAAAAAAGTAAAACACACTAATTCCATCCTGTTCCATAGCATCCAGATGTATACATTTCCTGTTTCATGCACAAATGAAAATTTTCTGTGAATGGTTCTATTTATATGAAAAGCCTGATCTTCCTGAAGAACTTTTTTTGCTCCCCATACTGAACAGAGGACCTTACCACTGAACTGCATTTCTAGCTCTTTTTTTATATTTTACTTCACTTTTTATGTTAACAGTGTCTTGCTAAGCTGCTAAATAACCCAGGCTGAGATCAAACTTGCAGTCCCCCTACTTCAGTCTCTCAAGAGTTCTGGGATTATAGGCATGTACCACCATGCGAGGCTGAGAACTTTTTTTGGTGGTATTGGTGATTGAACCCAGGGCCTTTGCACTGAGTTATACCACCCTTCTGCCCTCCCCCCCATCTCTGTCTCTGTCTGTCTGTCTGTCTGTCTGTCTGTCTGTCTCTCTCTCTCTCCTTCCTAAATTGCCAAGTTGACAAGGCTGGGCTTAAATTTGCGATCCTCCTGACTCACCCTGCCAGAGTGCTGAGATTATAGGCATGTATTACCATGCCAAATTGAAGGAAAAATATCTTAAATATGTCTATATCACAGTTTCTCATTTATATCTACTCATATTTCTGGCCTTATTTGGGGAAGGAGCCTGTGAGTTAGAAAGTAGGGATACCCATCCATCCATCCATCCATCCATCCGTCCGTCCACCCACCCATCCATCCTTCCTCCCTTTCTTTCTTTCAAAAGATCTTGATTTGTCAACTCACCTGTTACATGGACAGACACAAAGGCCACAGCACTTGTTGAGTTCTGTTAAAGTCTTCTCTGTCTCTCTCATATCTTTATTTATCTGATCCATGCCTTCTTCTATGCGGTTTAGTTGTTCTAAGAACGAGTTGTAGGAGTTATGTTTTGTGTTATATTCACAGTCTCAACAGAAATGTCCTATTATTATAGACCTGCAAATTTTAAACTTAATCTACCAATAGTCTGCCATACTGAATATGTCATTATCAGAAGATATTACAAACCATTCAACATGAAAGAATCTTTCACATACTGCAACTGAATTGATCAACTGATTTGGCCTCTTACTATAGAAAGATTTTTTTTTTTTTTTTTTTTTTTTGCAGAACCGAGGATTGAACTCAGGCCCCTGCGCTTGCCAGGGAAGCGCTTATTCCACTGAGCCATCTCCCCAGCCCCTAGAAAGATTTATTCTAAAGAAATCTTTTTTTTTTTTTTTTCAGAACTGGGGACTGAACTCATACCCTTGAGCTTGCCAGGCAAGCACTTATTCTATTGAGCTATCTCTCCGGTACCCTCTAAAGAAATCTGAACTAGGTGTGTGGTACATGCCTGCAATCCCAGCACTGAGGAGGCTAAAACAGGAGGATCACAAGTTCAAGGCCAGCCTGGACTACACAGTGAGTTCAAGATCAAAATGAACTATGTGGTAAGACCCTGGAGAGAGAGAGAGAGAGAGAGAGAGAGAGAGAGAGAGAGAGAGACAGACACAGATCAAAGGGGGATGGAAGAAAAGAGAAGAGAAGGGAGGAGAGGAGAGGAAGAGAGGAGAGGAAGGAAGGGAAAGGAAAGGAAGAGGAGGGGAGGGGAGGGGAGAGACGAGATCAGGAGGATGAATTTACAGTGGTTCAGATATACTCCTAAAACCAAGTTAGTATACTTTGACCAGATCAAATTCCCAGTATTTCTACCACTTAATGGGCTCAAAACCTGAGAACTGTCACAAGACTAATATAATCTAGATTATATTACCCACAGCCAACTCAAATCAAATATTTCTTTATTTTTTACTTATTTTTGGATTTTCTGAAACAGGGTCTCACAATGTAGTTCAGGGTAGCCTTGAACTCACTCACTATGTAGCATAGGCTGGCCTCAAACTCATGGTGATTCTCCTGGCTCAGTCTCCTGACTGCTGGGATATAAGGTGTGTGCCACCACACCTGGGTCTTTACTTTGATTTTTGAGATAGGGTCTTGCCATGTAGTGTAGGTTGGCCTTAAACTAACTATGCAGCCCAAGCTGGCCTTTAACTCATGGCAATCTTTCTGTCTTAGCCTCCCAAGGGATGGGATTAGAGACATGCACTACTATGCTTAGCTCAAATCAAGTACTTCTGAACTCTTTAGAATTTAGATTTGCTATCCAGGGGCATGGTAGCACATGCCTATAATCCCAGCACTCCCAAGGGTGAGGTATGAGGATTGCTGTGAGTTCGAGGCCAACCTAGGGTACATAGTGAGTTCAAGGCCAGCCTGGACTAAAAAGCAAGACTCTGTCTCAAAAAATTAAAAAAATAAAAAGAATTTAGATGTGCTTTAGAATTTAACTTGATTGCTGAGGATAATGCAAGAATATCGTAATATCTAATCTTCATAACCAATGCCCCCGATATGCCACACTGGCCAACCACATATCAAATAGACAGCTGGGCATTGGTGTCTCCTATCCCAAAACAGTAATGAAAGTGGTATAATTCAAATCAGAAGAAAAGAAACATATCCCTCTTATCTTACAAAGGAAAAGTACCCCCAAATTTATGAATAGGATATCTCACAGGGTTTTTTTGGTACTGCATATCTACCCGAGTTTCTACCAATAATTTCAACTCACCCCCTTGTTCACCCAGCATGGTGATGGTCTGGATTCCTGCATCTTGAGACTAAAACAAGAGGAGGAAAGCTGATAATATAACAAAACAAACCCCAAATAACAAAAACAAAACCTACACAGATTGACAAATAGAATTATTAAAAAACTAGGGAGCATTATGGACTACTAGATTCTTTTAGAATATTTTGCTGAGTTAACACACCTA